CATGTTTTTCGGTTTTTGGGCCTAACATGGGCGAGGTGCGCCACGACAACCTGGCCGAGGTGGGGAGCGGCGCCCGCGTGCTGCAGATGTCCTGCGCCCTGCACTGCGCGGCTGAGGCCATGCGGGACCAGCTGTGCCTCCACCACTGCTACCAGCCGCTGTGCCGCCCCTGGGAATGTGCCGCCCCAAGCAGGTGCTTGTTTTGCTGGTGCCTAGAGCCGGTCCTGCAGATTATTCATTTATTTTCATTAAATATGTAGACTAAATAATTAAATTAATAAATTTTCAAGCCGACTCCACTAGGCTGATCTGGGAATAGACACCTGCAGCAGAGGGAGAAATAAAGGGGAAATATTGCAGTGATTCCCAGAGGCACAGTTATTAGGGAACATGCGGTACCGGGCGCCCAGCGGCAGCACAGATCCCTCCCGTACCCGCTGGAAGGAGCAGGAGGAAGGCAATGGCCAGGCTGGGGGTCATGTCTGCGGCTGGTGGCTCGTTCCCCAGGCGGGATGGGAAGCTGAAGCCCAGCGCTGGCTCTGAGTGGGGTGAGCGGCCGGGACTGGGCTATGAATAGGGCCCCGGGAGTTCATTTGCATGGGCCGGGGGGTGGGGACAATATAACAGGGGTCCACTAGGAATAAATGATCAGTTTTCAGAATGGAGAGAGATAAATAGTGGTATCCCTGAGGGGTCGGTACTGGGACCATTACTGTTCAACATATTCATAAATGATCTGGAAAAAGGGGTAAACAGTGAGATGGCAAAATTTGCAGAAGATACAAAACTATTCAAGATAGTTAAGTCCCAGGCAGGCTGTGAAGAGTTACAAAAGGATCTCACAAAACTGGGTGACTGGGCAACAAAACGGCAGATGAAATTCAATGTTGATAAATGCAAAGTAATGCATATTGGAAAACATAATCTCAACTATGCATAGAAAATGAAGGGGTCTAAATTAGCTGTTACCACTCCAGAAAGAGATCTTGGAGTCATTGCGGATAGATCTCTGAAAACATCCACTCAATGTGCAGCGGCAGTCAGAAAAGCGAACAGAATGCTGGGAATAGTTAAGAAAGGGATAGATAATTGCCAAATTGCCCCAAATTTCATGGTGCCCTAGTCAGCTGCATGCATATGCAGCAGCACCAGCTCCTATCCCTCGCTGCCCCCCACCCCGCCCACCGTGGGCTGCACCCACTGCAAGGAGCAGAGCCATCCCTAGGGGGGTGTTGGACCCCAGACAACTCCCTCTGCCCCTCCTCTTAGCCTTCCCCCTGCTCCACCCCCGCCCCCAATCCACCTCTTCCCCCAGCGACCCCGCACTCACCGGCAGTGGCGGGAAGCGGAGCAGCCCAGACCCAGCCCGCTCTACTCTGCCAGCTCCCAGCCGTGGTGCTCCGCTTCCCGCCACCAGTGAGTGTGGGGTGGTACCCCTCCCCAC